CCCCAAAACCCCAAAACCCCAAAACCCCTCTAACTTAAAGCATTATTGAGTAAAAATTAGTAAAAATGATAAATAGCAAGCAACCAGGTTACAACATTTCTCTCAAAATGGATGATAAAGCAGCCAAAAATAGCTCTAGAGAATGTAGAATCATTGACGATTCCTCTTCCGAAGAATTTGAGTTTAATTCTTGGCTTACAGAAAACAGAAAAAGTAGGAATGAAAGCAAAGAGAATTACAAATTACAGAGAATTGGTCTTACACCAATCGTCAGCAAAGATCTTAATCAAAGGAAGAAACGTTGCAAGAAACACTCAGAGAAAGCCAGAGACGAAAGCTTCCTCATGTGTGATGCTCCAATTAACTTTTAGCGAGAAATCAGTTCTTGGAAGACAAGAACCTAAGCAAAGGTACAAGTCAAGTCATCCTTTTAAGAATCTCTTTGAAGACAGTGATACTGGCAATGAAATAGTTAGCTCAAAGCAAATCGTCATGGATCAGATGCTTATAAAGGAAAATGATGAACTTACTATTCGGAATTTTACCCCAATGCAGCAATTCGACGATTCTGAGTGGAAGAAGGAAGTCGCTGAAGTAGACATTCCTGAAAGACTCTACATCAGGCTTAAAAATAGACTGAAACCTTCAACCAAGGAGATTGAATGAGAAGCAAAGTGGATATTTAGGCATAAAAAGCACTGGGAAAGCTGAGACTCGAAGGAAAAATAGCATCATCTGTAGTATCCAAAATGTGCTGACTGATTTTCGAATGAGATATTTTGATATCCCTTTTATCACTACATACAGATATCATCTGTACGAAAATTATCTTCAAAGGAGCGAGATTTATGAAATCTACGAGCTAGACCTTGAATGGGAGCATTTCAGAAAGACAAAGGAGAGCCTACTGAAAAGATTCGCACAAGTACAGGACCAAATTCAGGGCAAGGAGGAAATAGAGCATTGCATTGAAAACTCAATTACAACTAGCGATCTTCATGATATCAGCCAATATCTTACTTTTCGTATGAATTTCATGCCAACTTTTCAGTCAGTGGTAACCGAAGGGAGAGACTTCAACAGGAAGGCTTATCTATTATGGATCAGGGAGAATCAAATTGATAAATTTGCAGCAGGCATCACCATGCCTCCTCATAAACTTCTTCAAAACTTGAGAGAACAAAAGTGCGCAAATATGATAGCTGCTCAGACTAAAAAGCCATCTGAATTAGCAAGGAAATATGTCTGAAAGAGGTATCCTGATGTTCTAAATGTACTGGTTAACATCTGATCTTTCATTGGAGATGAGCTGGCATCCCATCCTAGCATGAAGAGATTTGTGCGAGAGAAATATCTTCAAGGAGTGCAAATCTCAACTTTACCAACTGCAAAAGGTGAGATGGAATTGAACTGATTCCATCCAGATTATAAGATAAAGAGACTCAAAGCTGTTCCTCTTTATAAATTCAAAGATGAGACATGGCTGAGAATTCTAAGAGCAAAGGAGAGGCGTCTTATTCAGATCGTATATGACAATAACCATATCCTTCAGAAGATTACTGATGAACTAAGTAAATTTTACCAATGCTCAGACTCTGAAACTCCTCACCAAGAAGAATGGAGAACGTTCTATTCCGAAATTATGGAATGAACAATCTGGAAAAAGATGCTTCCAGATTTAAAAAGAACGACTAATCAACAACTGAAAGAAGTGGCTACACAATATGTTATCTCGAAGGTAAAGGAGAAACTCATGAAGGATTATCTAATGGTTCCTCCATTTATTCACAAAAGTCAGCCTTGAAGTATGATTTCAATAATCTACGATAATGAAGATAAACATGTGCTAAACGCAGTTCATGTGAATAAATTTGGAGAATACCAAAAACATCAAGCTTATCATTACCTAATGCTCCCATTTGCAAACAAGAATATGCCGAACTCTTTCGAAGCCGACATCCAGAAACTTAAAAGGTTTATAGTAGAGAGCAGAGCTAGACTTGTAATCATCCCAGCTCTTGGGCCAGAATCGAAATTTCTTAAAACCCTCATTCAAGAAAGAATAATAGATGGTCCTAATACAGCTCTCTTTAAAGAAAACAAGCCTTGGGTCTCTTACGGGGATACCAAAGTTTCTTTTCTAGCTGCCCAATCTTCTAGCATAAACGATAGCTCAAGAGTTTACCCTACTGAAATTAGGAAAGGTATCTTTCTGGCAAGATTTAAGCAATCTCCTTTGAATGAGACGCTTAGACTTTGAAGTCAAACTGAAGGAGAGAGCATACAGTTACTTAGACTAAACTTCCATGAATTCCAGGACTGAGTTCCAAAAGCTAAACTGATAGAATCTCTAAGGAGCACTGCAATACAATGAGTAAACAGCATTGGTCTAGATCTTGGCCAATTTCTCATGAATCCAAACTCTTATTATTGAGTGCCTTATATATCTGGACTTGGCGACATCAAAGCAGCACAGTTCTTGCAAAATTGTGTGCTGAATTATGGCAAAGTTGCATTAAGATCATGCAAAAATATACTCCCTCCACATGTGCATTACAATGCTGTTGGGTTCATAAATGAAACAAGAATCAAGGATTTTAAGAAGAAGGGTGGCTACAATGTATTGGATGGTACAAGAATTCATCCTGATTTTTACCAAATTGGTACTAAAATTGCTATTATCGCATGAAATAACAAATTATCAGCAGACAATTCAGTGAAAAAGATCTTGAAGCATCCTCTTGGTTTACGCCAAGTTGACCTTGATCAGTTTAATCAATGCTGAAAAAGTACTACTGGTAACAACTACAATAGTACATTCTATTTCATCAGAGATGAATTGGAGTGCCCATTCAGAGATATTAGAGGAAGCTATCAAGAGTATGAAAGCAATGTAAACAACCAAGATCGAAATACCTTCTTTGTACTAACTGGTGAAGATGAAGACAACTTCTCTGAAGGTTTACTTTTCCCATGAATGATAACTAGATGCATCAACTCTTACGTAGTAATGTGTAAAAGCTTAGCAAAGAGTAACTGGTCTGCCTTCCTCCACAAAGACAATACTCATCCTCGATTGCACAACAAGATGAAGCCAGGTACTCTCATCACCGGCAGGATACTCCAAATCAACTATGCCAAAATCTCTGTCTCAATTTCCGCAATGGAAGAGACCATCAGTGAACAAGAGATGCTCGCCCAAGTCCCCCAAACCTTCCAGCCCCACTTCAAAACAGACCTCTTACAAGACTCCCCTACAGCCCTCACCTCCACACCTAAACCCCTCCAACCCCCTTCTCCACCCCTCCATTCCCCACTTTCTCCCTCCAATAACCCCACCTTCAGAACCAAAAATCCCAAAATTTCCTCTATAAAATCCTCATTTCAGCCACACAAAAATTCCCACTCAAAAAAGTAAGCTTCCTTCTAAATTTGTACTATAGGCAAAGCACAAAATCTGAAAATTTCAACTGGGGAGGTATAGAGAATGATAGTGAAATTGTGACTGGGCTGGTCAGGGATGGTGGGGCTGGACAAGGAGAGGATGAGAGTTGGACAAGTGGGTATAAATATCCTTCACACCTTGCTATGGATATATCCCTGAACCCAGCAACTGAAAATTACAAAAGAAATTTTTAAGATACAGCCAAATGGATTCTTCTATCGCGGCAAAGTCTTAAAAAGTATTGGAGAAATGACATCTTCTTTTGAAAGAAACTTTAAATCAGAAGCTCCCAGGAAGTGTGCTAAAAATCAACATAAAGGGGCTTCAAGAAAGATAACAAAACATGATTTTGAGAGTGGATTTTCCAAAGCTCATAAGAATACCAACCAGGGAGTGTCTAAACATGATTCTGAATGGGAAGCAGATGATAACTCCACCAAGAACTGGCTTCCTTCTAAAGATCAGTTTGATGTAGTTGTTCCCCAGTCAAGCTTGAATGTAGATAGCTGCTCATGGCAAACAACTTCCAATGACAACAAAGAAGAAGCTGCTGGATGGGGAGAAGAACCTACTAAGAAAGAAGTAAATATCAAGGAAGAAGCTGGCTGGAGCAACGATAGCTCAGATGATGATTGGGGTAGCAAGAAAAATCCCTCCAACCAGCTCGTCAATAGGAACCACTTTAGAGGAGGCAGAACAAAATTTAGAGAGATAAATAATCATGGCTTTAGAAATCAAGGAACAAGAAGAGATAAAGTCTGCTTCAATTGAGGAGAGATTGGACATTTTGCAAGAGAGTGTCCTAGCAGAGATTTTAATAACAAAAGACGAGGCTTTAGAAATGGCAAAACAAATAGGAGAAATCACTCTCAAAAATCTTGGAAGATGAACACCAATAAAAAACCTAACACTCAAGAAAATCAAACATGGTCATGGAACAAACAAGAAGCTTCTCCACAATGGACCCACAGCCATACGAACCAACCCTCAAACCCTCCCAAATCCCCTCCTCCCCATACACCCCCAAGTATCACCCCCTCCCATAACCCCCACTCCGCCCTCTTCTCTTGGGCTTCCTCTACCCCCAAAGCTCCTCACCACCCTCTCTCACCCCCTCAAATCCTGCATCCTTAACAAAAATTAGTTAAAAAGTCATCAATTCCACTTCCTTAAATCGGGGTTTTGGGGTTTTGGGGTTTTGGGG